TTTTTCTTTTTCTTTTTACAGGCACATGCCTGTATGGCTGACAGTATCTAAACAGTCAGTGACTTCTGAATTTCTGCTGGAACTTCCTTGGTCCCAGCACTGAACTAGGAAGTCTGTCTGGTCTCTGTCTCACCTGACCATTGCCTTTTCCAGATCATCATGAATTCCAGCTTCATGTAAGTGTACTGAATCAGTGGGTGCATCAAATCCATAGTCTTCTTTCAGGAGCTTCTTCTCACTATATCACATTTCTGTGAATTTATCCTTATTTAACCATATAAGGGAGTGTCTCAAAAAAATGTGTGATTTCTTGCCACTGCCACAAGAAAGCATTTTCTTATAATACATTTCTTTAATACATCTTCTTCTCTGCTTTCATTGTTGGCTTATTGCACGTAATTCATAGTATTTAAAGTTCTGTTTCAAGATTTTTGAAATGCTAATCATATGGCTTGTTCTTTTTATTCAACAGTACATATATTCTTTCTGCATTAAACTCTTGACATTTACCTTGACTGAGATTTACCTTGACTGCATTTTATTTCATTATTTATATATATTAAATTTTTACATCCTGTTTTATATTTAACCTCCCCACCATATTTCATGCAACATGAATGCATATCAGCTGTTAAGTGGTCAGATTTAGAAACCATGGCATTGCAGCCATGGGAAAAACATAGCCAGCAAAAGGAACAGCAATCTACCAGTGGTTTCCTTCACTGCTATGAAAAAGTGTCTTCTCCATGACCGGCAGAGTTTTGCTTGCTGCATTTATCATGGTGAGATCAAGATCTGGCTATAGAGTTTGGTTAGCAGAAGGAGCTTTTTTCTTTTTTGTTGTTTGTTGGGGAAGAGAGGAAAGGAGTGAATGTTTTGAAACATGGCCACAGGAGTTGGGACACAGAATACATGACACAATTCTTTTGCTTCCTGGAGACAGCACTATTTTGTGTTAGCTGGCCACCACAGAGCTATCAAGCCTTTTCAGCTTGTCAGGATTCTTGTCTCTCTTGTAGCATATTTGCTTGTCTAGGCAATAAATATTAATTCCAGCTCTTACTCTCATGGCTATTTAAATGTATTGTCTCTATCTTTAGCTTGTCTTCCTTCCACAATTTAGGTCTGACATTTCTTTGAGCTGCCTCAAGGTTATTGAGGTTATTGCATCAGAGGGTAACTGAATTTCTTGACATTTTGGCTTGATCAAGATGATTTTTTTGAGACTGTTCAGTCAGGTGAGATACAGTTTTTCAAGGACATATTAATATGATCATACTTTTATAATATAACAGTTGACAGATTTTAAATGGACAGTCTAAAGGTGTCTGTCCATACATTGCAGGCTAAGTAAAGAAAACCTGGAAGATGGGAGGGCAGATCATCAGCTGACAAAATTAGTGATTTAGGCCCACTGAACTGTTTGAAAATAATTTTATTTCAGTTATTCCATACAGACTAAAAAAAGCATTAGCAACAGTATGTCACATTGTATTACGTAGAACTGAATGGTCAGATATGAATGAATTAAACTTAACTTTAGTGATAAGTTTATAATAGATTTAGATTTGAATTGAAGCAGTATATGAATAATAATTAGGAAAATAATACAAGTTCTGAAATGGCACATTTAAAGGATATATTTTAGACTTTAGGTAGTTACTTTTTATGAATGATTCTAGTGTTTCTGGTAGTGATAAGGCACAACATAAGGATTAGCATATTTCTGCATATGCACGTGAAAATTAAATGAAGATAAAAATTAATATTTATAGGGAGAAGAGATTTATACTTCCTGGTAAGTTAAATTTAAACTGGTGGGTCATGCTGTCTTATCTTGGGCCTGAATTTTGCATTTCACTGTATCTTGGTGCTCAAGCTTAGCTGTATCACACACATGTTGGACCAGAATTTTCACTGCACTGCCACATTTTCTAGCTATACCTGACCCAATTTTTTATACATTTTTCTTCTTTAATCTGTCAGGACCAAGATGCCTACATTAATGGAGATCTAAACAGGTGGTGACCCAAACTACCCTATAGACCTTTAACATTCAGACCAGCTCAGTGGTGCTGGGTTCCATCTGTGCTCATTATCTCTGGCTTTGATGTGTCTGTACCAATGACAGGGACTGGGGAAAGATTTCAGAGAGTTTTAATGTCTGTTGTTTCCCTCTCATCCAAGTGCCCCAAAAGTAAAGGTGACTGGAGGGTGTTTCTCTCAGCTGAAAGTTTGAAAACTTAGAAAAAAACTGTTCAGTTCTTTGGTCAAGATGAGCAGAGAATGGAGGAGTTTGAAAGCCTGAGATCTGGTATAAACATAAAAGTGATATTTAAATTCATGGTAAAACTAATTTGACAAAGACACGAGCTGTGTCCTGAGAAGATCAGCACCTTAGGAATGGGGTCTCATACAGTATTGTACAGGAGAAAGCTGAGTATAAAAATGTAGCTACTGCATAAACAAGTATCACTTTTAGGCAAAAGCAAAACTGGTAATGATGGGAGAAGCATCTAGTTTGGCAGAAAAGCATTTCCATTGTCAGGATTTTTAGAGAAGAGATAGCTCTTGAAATGTGTTTAAGGAAATTTTTTTGTGTGATGTTTATATTCCTGAATTGATTCCTAAACTGATTTTAGATGACA